AAACGGTTCGATGAGTTCCCCTTACGTCATGTCCTTTTTGATAAACGTACGTCCAAGAGCGTCACACTGCATGGAGCTGCGCACGTGTACCGCGCCGGTCTGCTCACTCCCCCCTCCCCCCCCCCTCCTCCCGTGGTGTGTGCCTTACCAGGGTGACACCGTCGATAAACCGACAGACCTCGGCCCTCTGTTGTGACCATGAAGACCCGGCTGTTAGACATCAGATTGGACTGTTTCCAGCCGCGCGCCGGCTGAGGCGACGGGTCGGAAAGATCATCAGATGACCATTACAGATGCTGACTTGCCCATCCTGATCCCAGCCAATTTATCTCGGGAGGAAAATACGAATATTGCCATGTTGGGCCGTGCTATGGCCTTGACCTTGTGCTCCTCGTGGGCATCTGCCAGAATTCCCCGGCCTGACCCGTAGCGTGACCCGGACATGCCGAACATGCCGTCCAGTCGACACCATGGGATGTCCAACACCGCAGTATATGCTCTTAGGGTGGTGACAATAGCAGTTACTGTGAGCTCAAGCGTTTTTGACTTCTCAATTTCGTCAGCTTACTGTTTCCTTGGAGAAGACTGCGGTGCCATGAAGCCGCGTTGAGGCTCCAATGGGCACAGAACAAGATCAAAACAAAACAGAACAACTGAAAACGGCGCATCATCGGAATTGGTGAATACAAGTTACACATTTGGATTTCCCGGACAGCGCTGGGCCATGCGGGTAAAACTGTCGTTCTATGTTGGATACCCAGCGACGTGGGCACCGCAGGTCATGAGCTGGCCAGCGCGGCGGCAAAACGAGCAGCGCTGCACCGTGCACCCGCACGGTACCCCTACCGACCAGGAGCTTTTATCCTGTCATTACGGCACTTATCAAAGGAAAAGGACAGGACTACAGGACGTCACAGCAAACAGTAAGCTGAAAGCCATTAAGCCACAGCCAAACTTGTGGCGTCGAGCTCACACGACGTGATACGTGAAGAAGTGGTCTTCCGCCGAATAACATACGCACGTGACGCAGGGCTCTCTTCTGCACGGTGAAGAACGGCCTCACTGCCCTCGCTGCGATGCGCCACTTACAGTTCACCACATTATTTACCTCCGTCCACATTTACGGAAGTCTCTCAGTCATTAGAGAGGAACATTTTCCACATAGATAAGATAGGGGTGCCGGCAGTGTAATGGTTAACGCATCTGCGTTAACCACTGCGCGTCTGGGAAACCAGAAGTACGGGGTTCGATTCCCCGCGGTGCCCGCCCTTCCTGCCAGGATGAGAGGCAGGCGACGCCATATAGCCTCAGCAGCTGGGAGCGTCGTAAAGCCCCAGTGACATGAAGTGACATGTATAAGATAGGCAATGTTAAATTCACTTCTGCGATTGGTTCGATGAAGGCATGTTGCCGAAATTTCAACCGAACCATATCTCCATTCCCTGGTTTTTCTCCGAGGAATAAGGCTATTGCTACTCTCTTATCTGACCATATGCCAGTGGAGAGCAGTTACGCTATCTCGGACGAGACGTTCCAGCTCTTACCTATTCGGACATAATCGGCGATGACTCTAGTATTCTTGTGATGGCTCCGCTGTTTTCATTTTTGACTAATGTAGGGTTTTTAGCCATTTGCACACATAGGTAGTCACTCAGTTGTTGTCGGCGCCAACTGGCCTTACTTATCGGCGTGCCTTAAAATCCTAATCAAGTAACAATGAAAACGGCGCCAAATTACTTCCCCAGCACTTTTTTTGTCGCGTCCACTGCGCCGTAGGCAGAGTCGAGGCGTACAAAGTCTCCGGGCGCAAAGTACTAGTTTTGCCGTGGACATGGCAGTTCCACAACAATATGGAGTTTAAGTTAAAAATTAGAAGAAATTTGAAGAGAAAAGACATCGAAAGGCTGAAAATGTGAGTTAAAATGAAAGTGAGGGCGGTGCTGTGGTGTGTGTGTGTGTTTGTTGTTGTTTGGTGCGTGTGTGTGTGTGTGTGTGTGTGTGTGTGTGTGTGTGTGGTGTGTGTGTGTGTTTGTTGTGTGTGTGTGTGTGTGTGGTGTGTGTGTGTGTGTGTGGTGTGTGTGTGTGTGTGTGTGTGTTGTGGGTGTGTGTGGTGTGCGTGTGAGTGGTGGGTGGTGAGTGTGCGTTGTGTGAGTGTGCGTGTTGTTCTCGATGCACGGGCCCGACCTGTCTGCGGCCACCCTCACGCTCGCCTGGTGACGTCGCTCAGGTGCGCATCCGCGATGGCACGACGACCCGGGCCCTGGCCGGCAGTCGGGTCGTGGTGCGCAGCGTCTCGGTCGGCGTGTGCTACTTTCTGCCGGACGAGGACCGCGTCGTAACATGGTGGCCGACACATGGAGCCAGTGCGCCCGCAGCGCGGCGACCGTGTCAAGGTCATCCTAGGTCAGTCCACCACCGCCGCGGTCCCGCTGAGCGTCGACGGGCGCTGGAGACGTCGGTGACTGGTGTCCGGCTTGGGAAAGGTTTGCGTTGACCGGCTTTGGCGCACTTGTTCATGCTTGTGTTGCGTTTGTCAGCGTTGTCGTACTGCTTTGTGTCTTGTGTTGCGTTTGTCAACGTTGTCGCACTGCTTTGTGTCTTGTGTTGCGTTTGCCAGCGTTGTCGTACTGTTTGTGTTGCGTTTGTGGGCGTTTTCGTACTGCCTTGTGTCTTCGGTTTCGTTTGTCAGCGTTGTCGTACTGCCTTGTGTCTTGTGTTGCGTTTGTCAGCGTTGTCGTGCTGCTTGTGTCTTTGTTGCGTTTGTCAGCGTTGTCGTACTGCTTTGTGTCTTGTGTTGCGTTTGTCAGCGTTGTTGTACTGCCTTGTGTCCTGTGTTGCGTCTGTAGCGTTGTCGCCTTGTGTCTTCTGGCTCGGCATACGATTTTTTTCTGTTTCCGTCTTGTTCTAAGTTCTTATCGTTACCAAGGTTTTGTTTGGCTGTTGTCAGTGATAGCTCGTGTGTATGCGCACCGATGCGTTCCCTCCCCCGGTGGGCTGTCACTGGGCCATGGCCGATCGGCCCATGGGCCATACGACGCTGCGTCCGGACTCGAGAGGTAATCAGACCGCAAGGATAGGTGTCGCCCGAAGCGTCGCCAGCCGACCAACCGACTAGGGCGTCGGGTGACATGGTCACGGCCGGGCTCCCCTTTCAAATAACCGTTGAATCATTCATGAACGATAAGTGGTGTGGGTGAACGCGCTGTGACGTGCGGAAGCCTCTCGTGTTGAGCCCCTACAGACCGTCGAGCCCTGCCGTGCGTGGGTCCGCTCCCGAGCCTTGGCCATGTGCCGGGGTGGGTCGGAAGTGGGAGGAGCGGGTGTACTTCAGTCCTGGAACAGAGCGCTATACGCGGGCACCGCCGCTGTCACCCGCCAGCCTGGCGTGCGTGTGATCAGTTACTTCGGTGGGTATGGCCGTCGGCGGTGAGTTCACACCCCGGCGGCAGTCTGCGGCGACGACCGTGTTCCGTACCGCCAACCCTTCAGGGTCAGCGCACGGCCAAGGCTGCGCCGCCGCCGCCGCCACCGCCGCCGCCGCCACCGCCGCCGCCGCCACCGCCAGCCGTCGTCGTCCTGCGTCGCTAGGCTGATTCGGTCTAATTGTAAAGGTGCGCAATCAGCGGTGGGTCAGCACCTGCTCGTTACGGACTGCACGGACCGTACCGGCCGCCCGGGAGCGGGCCAGCGATGGCGGCCCCGGCGCATCGTTAGGCGCGTCTCGCCGCCGGGCGCGCGGCGATGCCGGCGCGCGCGCCGCTCATCCGGGAAGTACCGCCGCCAGGCGTCGTTTCGCGTGAACCGCTTGCCCTGCGCCGCCCGCGCCGGCCGGGCCTGCA